GCTGTAGACTGTGGGGAGATATCAATGTCAGGTGGGCGGAAAAGCAGTAAATGGAGTTTAATCCAGAGAACATAAGAACATAAGAGCTAGGAGCAGGAGTAGGCCATCCGGCCCTTCGAGCCTGCTCCGCCATTCATTAAGATCATGGCTGATCTTTTCGTGGACTCAGATCCACTTACCCGCGTTCTCACCGTATCCCTTAATTCCTTCATTGTTCAAAAAAAATCTACCTTATCTTTAAAAACGTTTACTGAAGTAGCGTCAACTACTCCACTGGGCAAGGAATTCCATAGATTAACAACCCTCTGGGTGAAGAAGTTCCTTCTCTATTCAGTCCTAAATCTGCTCCCTCTAATCTTGAGGCTATGCCCTCTTGTCCTAGCTTCACCTGCCAGTGGAAACATCCTCTCTACTTCTATCTTATCTATTCCCTTCATAATTTTATATGTTTCTATAAGATCCCCCCTCAATCTTCTGAATTCCAATGAATATAATCCCAATCAACTCAGTCTCTCCTCATAAGCCAACCCCCTCAACTCCGGAATCAACCTGGTGAACCTCCTTTGCACCCCATCCAGTGCCAGTACATCCTTTCTCAAGTAAGGAGACCAAAACTGCACACAATACTCCAGGTGTGGCCTCACCAGCACCTTGTACAGCTGCAACATAACCTCTCTGCTTTTAATCTCAATCCCTTTAGCAATGAAGGACAAAATTCCATTTGCCTTCGTAATTACTTGTTGTACCTGCAAACATTCTGTGATTGATGCACAAGGACACCCAGGTCCCTCTGCATAGCAGCATGCTGCAACTTTTTACCATTCAACTAATAATCCTTTTTACTATTACTCCGACCAAAATGTATGACTTCACATTTATTTACATTGTATTCCATCTGCCAGACCTTTGCCCACTCACTCAATGTATCTATGTTCCTCTGCAAAGTTTCACAGTCCTCTGCACACTTTGCTCTGCCACTCATCTTAGTGTCATCTGCAAACTTTGACACCCTACACGTGGTCCCCAACTCCAAATCATCTATATAAATTGTAAATAATTGTGGTCCCAACAGCGATCCCTGAGGCACACCACTAGTCACTGACTGCCAGCTAGAATAGCACTCATTTATCCCCACTCTTTGCTTCCTGTCAGTCAACCAATCCTCTATCCATGCTAATACTTTACCCTTAATGTCATGCATCCTTATCTTATGCAGTAGCCTCTTGTGCGGCACCTTGTCGAAGGCCTTTTGGAAATCTAGGTACACCACATCCACTGGGTCCCCATTGTCCAATTGCTCGCAATCTCTTCATAGAATTCCAAAAGATTTGTCAAGCATGACCTGCCCTTCATGAACCCATGCTGCGTCTGCCCAACGGGACAATTTCTATCAAGATGCCTTGCTACTTCTTCCTTGATAATAGACTCAAGCATCTTCCCCACTACAGAGGTTAAGCTAACCGGTCTATAATTCCCCATCTTTTGTCTACTTCCCTTTTTAAACAGTGGTGTCACATTTGCGGTTTTCCAATCTGCTGGGACTGCCCCAGAGTCCAGCGAATTTTGGAAAATTACCGCCAGTGCACCTGCTATTTCTCCCGCCATCTCTCTTAGTACCCTGGGATGCATTCCATCAGGGCCAGGAGACTTATCAATCCTTAGTTCCATTAGCTTGCCCAACACTACCTCTTCCGTAATTATGATTGTTTCCACGTTCTCACCTACCTTCGTCTCTTTGTCAATTACTGGCATGTGATTAGTGTCCTCCACTGTGAAGACCGATACAAAATACCTGTTCAATGCCTCGGCCATTTCATCATATCCCATAACTAGATTCCCCTTCTCATCCTCTAAAGGGCCAACATTTACTTTAGCCTCTCTTTTTCGTTTTATATATTTATAGAAACTTTTGCTATCTGTCTTTATATTCTGTGCTAGTTTTTTCTCATGTCCTATCTTACTTTTCTTTATAGCTCTTTTTGTGGCTTTCTGTTGACCTTTAAAGTTTGCCCAATCTTCTAGTTTCATGCTGTTTTTGGCCACTTTGTATGCCTTCTCTTTCAATTTGATAGCCTCCCTTATTTCTTTAGACACCCATGGCAGATTATCCCTTTTCTTACAGTCCTTCCTTTCCATTGGAATATACTTTTGCTGAGCACTTTGAAAAATTGCTTTGAAAGTCCTCCACTGCTTGTCAACTGTCCCACCATAAAATCTTTGTTTCCAGTCTACTTTAGCCAAGTCCTCCCTCATTCTATTGTAGTTCCCCTTGTTCAAGCACAGGACCCTTGTATTGGATTTTATCTTCACACTCTCCATCTGTATTCTAAATTCAACCATACTGTGATCACTCCTTCCAAGAGGATCCCTAACTATGAGGTCATTAATTATTCCTGTCTCATTACACAGGACCAGATCTAGGATAGCTTGCTCCCTCGTTGGTTCCATTGCATACTGTTCAAGAAAACTATCACGGATACACTCAACGAACTCCCCCTCAAGGCTACCCTGACCGAGCTGGTTCGACCAATCTACGTGTAGATTAAAATCCCCCATGATAATTGCCGTACCATTTTTACAGGCATTAGTTATTTCTTTGTTTATTGCCCACCCCAATGTGATGTTATTATTTGGTGGCCTATAGACTACGCCTATCAGTGACTTTTTCCTCTTAGAATTTCTAATTTCCACCCAAATGGATTCAACCTCATTCTCCATAGAACCTATATCATTTCTCAGCACCGCCCTGATGTCATCCTTGAATATCAGAGCTACACCACCTCCCTTACCTTCCTGTCTGTCCTTCTGAATAGTCTGGTACCCTTGGATATTTAACTCCCAGTCGTGACCATCCTGTAACCATGTCTCCGTAATGGCTACCAAATCATGTTCATTCGCGATGATTTGTGCCGTTAACTCATCAACCTTGTTACGAATGCTACGAGCATTCAGGTAAAGTGCCTTTATGCTAACTTTCTTACCCTCATGATTTTCAACATCTCTAATAATATCTCCTGAGTTATCCTTCCTTTTTGTTTCTTTCATAGTCTGCCTTGAACTTAAACCCTCCTGCCCACATGCTAACCTGCTGATTACCTTTTTATTTACCATCATACTCCCTGTCGTTTTCCCTTTCCCTTCCCCCCAACTCACTAGTTTAAAGTCCTAGTGACCCCCTATTTATCCTTTTCGCTAGAACACTGGTTCCAGATTGGTTCAGGTGGAGACTGTCCCATCGGTACAGATCCCTCCGGTTCCAAAACTGATGCCAATGCCCCATGAAATGGAACCCCTCTTTCCCACACCACTCCCTTAGCCACGTGTTTACTTCCCTAATTTTCTTATCCCTAAGCCAATTTGCACATAGCTCGGGCAGTAATCCGGAGATTATGACCCTCGAGGACCTGTTCCTTAATTTTGTTCCTAGTGCTTGAATATCCCCAAACAGGTCCTCCATCCTAGCCTTACCTATGTTGTTCGTCCCAACGTGGACCACAACAACTGGATCCTCCCCCTCCCGCTCCACTATCCTTTCAAGCCGGTCAGAGATGTCCTGCACCCTGGCACCGGGCAGGCAACACACCATGCGGGACTCCCGATCTGGCTTGCAAAGGATACTATCTATCCCCCTAACTATAGAATCCCCTATAACTACCACTTGTCTTTTTGCTCCCCACTCTTGAATGGCCTTCTGCACCATGTTGCCGTGGTGAGCTGGCTCATCCTCCCCGCGGCCCTTTTCCTCATCCACACGGGGAGCAAGCATCTCGTACCTGTTGGATAAGGTCAAAAGCTGAGGCTCCTCCACTCCTGAACTCAGGACCCCCTTACCTGCCTCACTTGCAGTCACACCCTGTTGTCCCTGATCACTAACTGAATTTGAATTACTTAATCTACCAGGTGTGACTGCCTCCTGAAACAAAGCGTCCAGGTCACTCTCCTCTTCCCGGATGTGCCGCAGTGTTTGAAGCTCAGATTCCAGATCTTCAACTCTGAACCGGAGTTCTTCCAGCAACCAACACTTGCTGCAGATGTGGTCACTGCCGTTCACAATGGGATCAGCCAGCTCCCACATCATACAGCTACAGCACATCACTTGCCCAGCCATCTCTACTTAGTTAATTACTTTATTACTTTATATCAATTTATGAGTTAAATATGGTCTTTTCAAATAACCAATTAATAGATAAATTAAAAAAAAAGTAAATTTTTAACCAATTACACGATACAGAAGAAATAGAAAAAGTATAAAAACCTTACCTTACCAACACACCACAGAGTCCTTTTTTTTCAGTTAGAGGAGGAGGGTGGGTGGGAGACACTACACGTTTAGTGTCTCGGGTTCAGCCGCTGCCCAAATATATTCCCGGCAGCCCCCTGGTCCTCGCTGTCGCCTCTCCCTCTGTTGCTGAAAAATGAAGAGTGAGATAATTCTTTTGTGGGAGGCTTACAAGAATTGAAGTATACAGAAGGATATTGGAGTGCACGTCCATAGATCCCTGAAGTTGTTCGTAATGTGTGATACTGGAAATAAAATCAGAAAGTAAAGAAGCTGCACAGGTCTGAAGAAGAATTCAGAGGGAAGAATTAATTGAAGCATATAATATATTAAGGATTCTAGACAGAGCGTATAGGAAGGTTCTGTTGCCCTTGGTTGAGGTGTGCTTAACAAGACATTATGGATTTAGGGTATATAGAAGTTTTGAGGAAATTTAGAGGTTAAACGTTTTCATCCAGAGAGTAGTGTAGATTCTGGAATTCACTTTCTGAAAGGGTGGTAGAGGCAGTGATGTTCATAATATTTAAAAAAGTACTTGAAAATGCACTAGAAGTGCTGCAGCCTAAAAGGGTACACAATAAGAGCTGGAAAGTGGGATCGGATTGAATCGTTGTGGAGTGATGTGGACATTGACAAATTACATCCACCCATGCTGTGAATTTATTTATTCTCTGACTCCATGGTAATGTGCTTACATCTGTTCTTCTTTTCACTGCCACAGAAGGGAATTTCCATTTACAACTATGCAAGCAAGTGATCTGGTGACACACCTGCGCATCCCAGAACTTTGGGAGGTCCGGCAGTTCGTTCGCTCTCTTCCACCATCCGCTCTAATAGGCATTGGCACCATTGCAGCACTTATGGCATATTGGTATGCCACAAGACCCAAGCCACAGAAACCCCCATGTGACCTGACTATGCAGTCCGTTGAAGTGGAGGTATGGTTTGAAATATCATTGCTTTTAGGAGTGTTATAAAATGATGAGGAAATTTGCTTTGAAACAAATTCAGCGAATTGATGACTCTAATTTTTATTTGTCAGGGCAAGGTGCTTCCAAATTCTAAATCAAAAGCAAGATGCTGCAGACGTCGGAAGCCTGAAAAATAAACAGAAAATGCTGGAAACACTTAGCAGGTCAGTTCTGATGAAAGGTCAGCAATCTGAAACATAACACTGTTTCTCTCTGTCCAGATGCTACCAGACCTGCCGAGTGAGTCCAGCATTTGCTGTTTTCAAACATTGCTGATGTGGCTTTGCAACATGCTTGTGACTTCTTAAGAGGTGGACTGGAAGTGTGAAATAAACTTGATTTCTGTTGCATTAAATTCAACTAGTGCAGTTGACAACAATGATTTGCTTTTTATTGTACTAAATGCATTTTCCAAAAAAAATTGGGTTTTTTTTCCCCCTGTGTAGTTATAGCATCTATGCTGAGTTGCACAGAATCCTGTATTCTCACAAGCTGCAAATCCAATCACCCATCCTCTCCCACCTGTCTGCTGAGGGACCAACCTCAAACCCTATCTGCTCATATTTTACCACTGACACCGGGAGACTGATTTTAAAATATGTCACCTTCTTTATCTTTGAGCATTGAATGTTGTTCTGCCCCTTTTTACATCTGCTATACAGTCCTTATACTTTACCAACCAACCAAGCCCCAACCTTAGCTGCTTTTTCACTGCCCCTCCTTGTGACCCACCACCGTTGCTGCCCTTGTAGATTGCAGTTCCATATTCCTTTTGATGACCTACGTTGGTTCCTTGTTCCCAAAGACCTACAATTTATAAAATTATCATCTTCGTGTTCAAATCACTTAGAGGCCATTGTTGTTGGAGAAACATAGGAACAGGAATAGGCCATTCAGCTTGTTGAGTACGCTCTTTGCACTCAATGACTGATCATTTCCTGTACTTTCTCCCTATTCTTTGATGTCATTAAACTTCAGATATTTATCAAAATGGTTGAGTGTCTACAGCCCTCTGCAGTTGAGAATTTCTGAGATTCACCAACCTTTGAGTGAAGAAAGTCGTCCTCATCTCGCTCCTAAGTGCCCCACCCATTACTCTAGGATTATGTCCCCAGTTCTAGAGTCATAAACCAGGAGAAACATATTTATTTACATCCATTCTGTCATTCCCTATAGGAATTCCAAAAGCTTCAATGAGATCACCTAATTTTTTTGAAACTGTAGAACTACAGATCCAGAGATCCAATTTCTTCAATCCCCCATCATAAAATAATCTTGCCATCCCAGAGATTGATCTGCTTACTCACCCAGCCACTGTCTGTGGCAAGTATACACTTTCTTGGATTGGAGACCAAAACTGCAAACGATGATACAGAGGTGTGGTCTCACCAGGGCGTTATACAATTGCAGCAAGATATCTTTCCTCATGTACTCAATTTTCCCTATGATGAAGGTCAACAACCATTTGCCTTCCTAATTGTTTGCTGCACCTGCATACTAACCTTTTTTTGCAGTAACCCTTGAACAAGAGCACCCAGATCCCTTTGGACACAGCACTTCCCAACTTCTTACCATTTAGAAAATATCTGGATTTTGTTTTTTTTTTCTACAAAAGTGAATAACTTCAGACTTATTTACATTATATTCTGTCTGCCTTGTTCTAGCCTATTCACTCAGCCCGTCCAAGTCCCTTTGAAGCTTCCTTGCATCATCCACATAACTTGCTCCTGCTTAGATTTGTTTCTTCAACAATTTTGGAAATATTGCACTCTGCTCCTGTATTCAAATCAAAGAGTGTGAAAAATCATAAACCTACCACCGATACTTGCAGTACACTGACCTGTAACCATCCAGAGATGAATCAGTTAATCCCTGCCCTTTGCTTGCTGTCTGTTAACCAATTCTTCAGCCATATTAGTATATTATCCCCCTTCGAAATTTCTTTTCTTTTCTTTATTAAGGTAGCACCTTATCAGGAACCTTCAGAAGGTACAGATACATCCCATCAGCTGGGCCTCCTTTAACTGTGCTACAAGTAACATCCTCAAAAAAACTCTAAGTTTGTCATTCATGATTTCCCTTTCATAAAATCTGTATTACATCTTCGCAGGTTTACCATTCTTTTCTAAACATTGGTTATTACATCCTTCATAATGGGTTAAGAAGGGAGGGAATGGCCTAGTGATATTATCACTAGACTATTAACCTAGAGACCCAGGTTATATTCTGGGCACGCAGGTTCAAATCTCGCCAGGGCACAAGGCAATCAACCATCCTTACCTGCTCTGGCCTACGTGTGACTCCAGTTAATGATTCTTAACTACCCTCTGGGCAGTTGAAGATGGGCAATCCTAGCCAGCACCCTGTGTATGAATATCATCAATCTGTTCAGAGATGCTATTACACCCAATTGGGTGGAACGGTTGCTGAGTAGTTAGCGCTGCTGTCTCACAGCGCCAGGGACCTGGGTTCAGTTTCAGCCTTGGGCGACTGTCTGTGTGGAGTTTGCACATTCTCCCCGTGTCTGCGTGGGTTTCCTCTGGGTGCTGCAGTTTCCTTTCATAGTCCAAAGATGTGCGGGTTAGGGGGAGTAACCATGCTATATTGCCCATAGTGTCCAGGGATGTGCAGGCTAGGAGGATTAGCCATGAGAAATGCAGGGTTACAGGGATAAGGTAGGGGGATGGACCTGGGTGGATTGCTGTTCAGAGTGGCAGTATGGACTCAATGGGCCAAATGTCATGCTTCCACAGTGGAGGGATTCTATGATATGATTCATTCAGGTGGGTTGAATCTGGGTCTCTTGGCCTGGGATATGGACACTACAGCTGTATCACATGAGGGCCCGATGTCTATGGATGTAAACTTAGGAGGTAAATATGCTTCACATGAGGCTGCTTCACATGAGCCTGCTTCATTTCACCCTGTGCTCTGATGATTACTCCCTTCTAATTATCCACCTTTCCATTGAAAACATCTATTTGGCTCAACAATTTGGCAAAGCCCTGAGAGGAACTAAGGAATGTCACACCTGAAAGGTTCCAAGGCAATAGTCAACTCGACCTATTTTTCTTTCAAGAAAGTCAGGTTATTTTTGGCTCCTTTAAACCTTATCCACAAACAAAGGGATTCATCTTAAATTAACCTTGTTGTGATCAACTGAGTGAGGGGTTGAATTAAGAAGGGGAGCAAGTGCTTGGATAACCTATCTGAAACGGTAACCAGTTGCAGACTGTAAGCCTTGAACTGTTTGTAACGCCTTTTTCAAGTACAACTGCTTTAATTTTATCTCTTTCAGCTCCTCAGTTTCACAAATTCCTCAATTGTCTCATATTTCATAGAGATTTTCTATATCTTCTGTGAAGACAGACACAAAATAATTGTTTAGTTCATTTCTAAATTTAATAAAAAGAATTGCGGATGCTGGAAATCAGAAGCAAAATAAGAAATTACTGGAAAAACTCAGCAGGCCTTGCAGCATCTGTGGAGAGAAATCAGAGTTAACATTTTGGATCCAATAACCCTTCTTCAGATCTGATGAATTTTTCCAGCAATTTCTGATTAAGTTGCTCAGTTTATCTGCCATTTCCTTGTTCTTCACTATAGATTCAACCAATTCCAGGAATCAAATTATTAATCTTTATAAATTGGAAATCTGTTGTGAAATGGATCAATCGTTATACAATATGCTGACTTTCTTTCATAAACACTGTAAAAGTTCGAAATATTCTTGCTGTGAATTAAGCCAGAGACTGAGGAGTTTAATGAACATATTCATATCGGAGGTTTGAATGGAAGAAAATATCCCATAGCTGGTACATGCAGAGTCACTGAATAAAGTTTTGCTACATGCTGCCATTTATGTGATTCAGTTTTTCACTGGTTGTGTAGAGTTACATAGTATTCTTGGAACAATTTTGTTTTCTGACACCAGAATACAATTTGAAATGTTTTTCCACTTCAACAACAACAACAAAAATAAAGTTGCTGGAAAAGCTCAGCAGGTCTGGCAGCATCTGTGGAGGAGAAAACAGAGTTAACGTTTCGGGTTCGGTGACCCTTCCTCAGAACTGATGGTGGCAGGGAAAACGTCAGTTTATATGCAGAAAATAGGGAGGTGGGTGGGGTAGGGAGTAAACGATAAGATAGAGCCCGAAGAGAGAGAAAGACAGTTGGACAGACAAAGGAGTTGCTAACGATCAGGCTGGGAGGGTGAGTAGTTGTTAATGGGGACTGTTAGTGACTAACAACAGGGGGTGTGTAATGGCAGGCTATGTGGTAACAAGGCCTGGTGTGTGGGACAGGGGGCTGGGACATGGGAGAGTTTAGGCTCTAAAATTATTGAATTCAATATTAAGTCCGGAGGGCTGTAGGGTCCCCAAGCGGAAAATGAGGTGTTGTTCCTCCAGCTTGTGTTGGGCTTCACTGGAACACTGTAGCAAGCCGGAGACAGAGATGTTGGCCAGAGAGCAGGGTGGTGCATTGAAGTGGCAGGCAACAGGTAGCTCAGGGTCTTTTTTGCGAGCAGAACGTAGATGTTCTGCGAAGCGGTTGCCAAGTCTACGCTTTGTTTCCCCAATGTAGAGGAGACCACATTGTGAGCAGCGAATGCAGTAGACTAGATTCTTGGAAGTGCAGGTGAAGTGTTGCTTCACCTGGAAGGTATGTTTGGGCCCTTGGATAGTGGGGAGGGAGGAGGTAAATGGGCAGGTGTTGCACCTTCGCCGGTTACAGGGGAAGGTGCCGTAGGGCTGTGGGGAGGTGTTGGGGGTGAAGGAAGTGTGGACCAGGGTGTCCCAGAGGGAACGGTCCCTGCGGAAGGCAGACAAGGGAAGGAAGGGGAATATGTGTCTGGTGGTGGCATCTTGCTGGAGGTGGCAGAAATGGCGTCTGATGATCTTCTGGATGTGGATGCTGGTGGGATGGTAGGTGAGGATAAGGGGAACCCTATTGCTGTTGCAGGAGGG